CTCTTATTAATTGCATTAATCGGAAGGATCAGCGGTCCGATATGGGTTGAAACTGAGGCAAAGGAGGAGACGAGAGCACTCTTGGGACTTCAGAGCATTGAGCTCTGGTTGGAATGATTGGTGGGTAAACCTAAATCAAGCTGCCTTTGTCTCCACTGCAGTCGTCAAACTCATTAGAATGTGGAACGCCGGCGTTTATCTTTTACATTCAAACGCGTTTGACGAGTACAGTGAAGACAAAGGAAGATATAGCTTTAGGTCTACCCCCTAATCATTCCAACCAGAGCTCGGTGCTCCGACGTCCCTGTGCGCTCTCGTTTCGTGCTCTCCCTCAGGTTATACCCGTATACTCTTAATGCTATTAATAATTTCTTGGAAACGTACGGTGCTGCCTTTAGCAGAAAATACTGCTTTAGCATAAATAGCAAAGAAGCCAAGGAGACAGCAGTGGTCATTGAAAGGCGTTTTCGTTGGCTTCTATGCCAGGCTGAGGAAACTTGATCAGCAGTACCACATGCCTATGGGAAAGGTTTGGTAAGGGGAAGCCATACTGAGTTGGTCCCGCACGCCCGGCGTGGAGGAGGCCAACTGACCTGGGTGTTTCTCTCTCTCTCTCTTTCTCTCCCGGTTTCTCTCCCTCTCTCTCTCTCTCTCGGTGTTCCTCCTTGCTCCTCGTGCCCCCCTGTGTGCCTTGTGCGTGTCTGTGCTGGTGACGTGTGGTGGTGACCGCTTCTCCACCCTCACGCCGACCGCCGCCGACTCAGGATCGGGTGAGTGGTCGCTCCGACGCAGCCCGTACCACCTAGAAGACGAGGCCCGTGCATAAAGGCCCGTTCACACGCTCGTGTTACGGTGTCCGAAGCGCGTCTCCGACCGGTGTGTTTAGCGTCCTGTTTCGACCGCGCATCGAAAGGGGTCCTGAAGGGGCAACAAATGATGCTGCAAAAGCCGGAGTATCACGCCGTCGGAGGTCGCGATCCCACTGGTCGGTTGTAGAAGTTGCGGCAAAAAGCACGAGCAAACGCGGGTGTCGACGTTGTTGCGGTGTCCCTACTCCTGGCTGCCGAATCTTCTGTGAACTGTCGAGCCAGAGAGCGACCCGCAGTGGAACAGGCATCTGCCACATTCAACACCGCCGCTGTCACACCACAGCGGCGTGACACCTTTAAGACGCCGTCGAGCGGGACCACTTTTTGGCGCGGTAAACACACCGGTCAAAGATGCGTTCCAGGCACCATACTTGCATTTGCTTATGACCGAGTTTTTACGATCTCTTACAATGAAAGAATACATCGGCAGGTTGGCACCACCTGTGGGCTGGCTCTGCAGTTGCATTTCGTTAAAGCGAAGGTTTTACAGGCCTTGGTTGCAAGCTTGAGTCTATGTACCATCTATAAGAAACAGTCGATTACAACATTGCGAAACGTTTTTCAAGCCAAAAAAGAAAGGATGATGCGCAAAAAAAATAGGACATACTGTCGAGACCGGTTATAGTGAAGTCAACAGGAATCGGAAATCACTTCACTATATCCACTATTTCGTTATAACTAGGGCTCCGTGTTTTCGGATAAATCCGAAAAACTCCGAAAAACACCCGCCCCCGGTAAAATTTTTTTCAATTCGGATTTATCCGATAAACTCCGAATTCTTATGTGCCCATGCCACCCCCCCCCCCCCCCCACTCACACACACACACACACACTCACAGCAAAAAGAAAAAGGGTTTATTTTTTATTTTTTATTATTTTTTTTACAATTTGAGCAGCGTGGGATCAGTGGTCCTGGGAAAATGATACCATAATTATCTTTCAAGCCTCGGACCGTTGTCAAAAGGGGGTTTTACGGCTTGCCTCGTCAAGGTTGGTTCAGGGAAACAGGTCATCGTACCATTCGTGTCACGACAAAAGTCACTCTTTTGGTTTCCAGTTTGGGCCATGGGATTTGGGATTTAGAGAAAGGACAGGGTATGTTTCTGGGGGTAACAGTGAAAGCTATGGACCAGAGTGATTGTACAAAATAGGGAAGAGGGGCAGTTGAAACTTCTCTATTACATCCTTAACCACTCCACCTAGCGCGGCCGCGGGATAGATTGATGGGATGGCTACGAGCTTCTTTGCGGCTACCTCCGGCAGTTTATTGATTTTTAGGTATCGAGTCTATCGACGTTTATCAAAACCAGACTTGTGTGCGACTTTTGTCGTGGGACAAATTAGTATTGCCAATGACACCAATGCCAAATTCAACTGAAGAAATCTTAATTGATACAAGCGCGTCTTATTTTTTATCTGGCATACGTTTGCATCCGGTTATTATTCTTTATTTCTAATAGGAAACACTGCGAAATTAATCTCCGAATTTCGGAGAATTGGGGATTTACGAAAAATAAACTCCGACAAACACCGAATTTTTGCTAAAAAAATAAACTCCGAAAACACGGAGCCCTAGTTATAACCGACTTCGGTTAACGAAGTGCAAAAGGGAATGAGAAACCGTGATCGTTAGCTGTAGCCGCTATTTCATTATAGCCGACTTTTTTATAACCGGTCTCGACAGTATAGGGAAATGCCGAGTGTTCCACAGCTGCCCGATCGATGTTGCCAGTGTGTTCTCTCGTTGTGAGAGATATTAAGAGGTTTTAAGAACCACCTCGTAAGCAGTCGCGAGTGTGCGAAGCAGCCTTTATGCCGTCGTTAGTGAATCTCCGCCCCGCCCCGAGCGACAGATGCGCCGAAGCTCAATGAATGTACGCGGCAAAATGGCAGACGTGCGTGTCTTGCTATCTTAGCGCGCTAGCATTGCGCCGGTTGCGAGTTGCTGCAAGATGCACTCATGGTGATGCGAATGCGAGCTAGGTGGCGCCGCATGGATCTGCTAGCAACGACGTTAGAGGAGGAAAGGCGGAGGCCTGGTCGTCTTGGTGGTATCGAGGCAGTTTGATTCGCTGCGGGCCGTGGGAGCCTAACTTGCGCTGCCTTCACCTCTTTTATGTGCGCTGATAAGGAGACTCATATTTTGGACACAAGGACACTTCAGAAGCAATTGAGTGCTTAGACTGATTGCCCCCCCCCCCCCCCCCCCCCACACACACACGCAAACACACCTGGAACACCATAATATATTGAGCTACAGTGAAAAAGTTGAGGGAGGTAATGTTTTTTCATTTTGCTGGTGTTTCGTAAAGACTGGGTTATGCCTAGACATTAGAGGATTTTAGTAGATCGTTTCAATACCTCCGATACCCCTGATAACGATGCAATGCATTTGCAAAGGCGGCAATGGAGTATCGGGTATTGTCATCAGAGTCATCAAAACGGTCCACTAAAACTCTCCATTGTCCAGTGGAGGAAGGACTGCGGAAATGCCACAAAGTTGTCCCAATGTACTGGCTTTGTCATATTACCACTTGTGCACTGCAGGAAGCCAACCTGTTGAATGCTCACACTTCGAACGCATTCTTGGACGGTTTGAATGAGCAATCTAAAATTATGAAATAATACATTTGTTTTATGATTGGTTCGCGATGTATGCAGTACGCGTAAACCTGCCTTGAGCAAGCATAGGATGCCACTTCTGTAACAACTATGATTGTGGTTATTTGCAGTGAATCGAGATGGCTAGAGCACTGACAAATTGTAGTGGTTGGTACCTTAATCTAAGATAAATGGGAAAAGGGGACGTGCTCATATTTTTTTATTCCCAGACGAGTTTTTTGACGAAAATTCTAAAAGTATCAAGAAACCTTGTGGCATTTCGATGAGACGGAAAATAGTTTGAGAGTTCTGTCATATTCTAAAAGCATAGCTTCCGAGACATGCTCAAGTAAGACATCTACAGCTTACCGAATGCTGAACGAAAAGTGCAATCCACAGGAACGATGATCCAGTTCCTGTGATCTCCAGCAAAGAATTTTCAGGTCTTGGCACACTATCCCTGGGTCGGACCTATGGGAATATTCCTAAATTTCTAATATCATCCTGAGCCTTGGTGTATTGTATTCAGCATCTGAAGCTAATATGAGTATTATAAAATTTGGGATATTTTCAGACTTTTCCAAACAGTTTTTACGTTAGATTATTCCATCTTCGTTGTCACACTTCACTGCGGCACGAATGCACTGTGGTGAAGCGACTCCCATGGCAGCTGTGTCGCCCCAGCAGTTTTCCGAAGGCGCATCGCCCGTGAAGAAAATTGAATCCGGGCGGGTTTGTAGACACATGTTTTGAAGAAGTTGTGGCTTTCTTTTTTCTCCGAAAATTAAAGATCACGCCGTTGCACATTTATTGATGCCGCGTGAAACCGTAAATTCTTGCCTGAAAATAGGTTCCACGAATTGGTCCGCACCTATTGTTCGGGAAAAAAACAAATGGAAATTGTTGATTTTGTTCTGTCACACTGTTTATGTGCGAGATAGCATTCGGGGCATACCAAGTAAAAAAAGCTCGAAGAAAATATTTTGAATGGTATAATTATTAACGGTCTTTCCTTTCTTGCCGCTAGCATGATCCGAGTCTTTGGGTATGGTGCCTGGAGCGTGCGTCTGACCGGTGCGTTTAGCATCCTGTTCCGCCCATGCACCAAAAGTGGTCTTGAAGTGGCAGTAAATGATGTTTTGAAAGCCGGAGCTACACGAAAGCCGAAGCTTACATGGACTGTCAAATCGGAGTGACTGGCTGCAGAACAGGCATTTGCCATCGCTCTGCGACACCGCCAGTGTTGCAGCTGGCAACAACATGACACATCTATGACAGGCAGAAATTGAGGAACCACTTTTTAGGACGCAATAAACACACGGGTTGGAGACGCGTTGCAGGCACCATGCTTTGGGGCGATGCTCTTAGACAGCAAAGATGATTCAGCAGCTGTCCTTAGGACGTCTGTGGGACGTTACGACATCCCGAGGATGTCCACGGAACCGAGTGCCCTGTTAGGGCTGGCCGACACCCCACCCTCGCCGCATGAAAGTGCTGACGTGGGCGGGGCACCATCCTTTTCTGACGCAGGCGTTTGCGTGGTTCAGCGACCTCCTAGTGGAGCATGCGGAGATCTTCTGGTCCCTGTTTGCAGTCGACATGGACTCCGTTCTCGACGGACAGCCGCCCGACACCTGGGACAGCTTCCCTCTGCTGCAAGTGCTCAACGATTACCTGCGCATCGACGGTGAGGACGCAGTACCCTCGTGAGGCCACATCGGGAGCACGGGGCGCATTCTGAAGGCGGAGCATGCTGGAAAATCCTTGGGATACCCCTCCATGTCATACATTCTTGAAAACTGAATTTGATGGCCAGACATCCGTTTATAAAGAAACAACGATCAAATTTTGATGGCGGTAGTAGAAGTACTACTAAAGGGCAACAGAGCTATCATGTGATACGAGATGTCACGGGATTCCCTACGCAACGACGGGCGGGATTGGGGCAGGCCGGCGGGCCACCGTTGGAGCAGGCGTGTGCCAGGCACAAGTGTCGTCTGCACCGCACTCCTCACCACGTTTTGGTGTCTATGATATTGGACGATGTCTGCACAACTGCGGCATCGGTCTGCACACATAGTGTGAACGAAAAATAATTGCAAACGATGAGACGACGATGGCGGTCGTGACGCGGGAGATGGCGGGACGGCCGCCAAGAAGCACACTGCGGAGGCACGTTAGGCCAATCACGTGGACACTGCTGAGTGCCGAGAGGAAACGTCACTGACGTCGCCCGTTACGCTTGCCCGGAGAAGTAAAAACAAGCAAAAAGGGGCAGTGGTGATGAAGTCTAGCTCAATGTAGGCTACGCCCATGGCGCAGCCTTGACTGCGCTGTTGGTTGCCCCTCAATTCGCTTGCTAGAGTCAGCCGATTTCAGCAACTTGGCGCATTGCAAAGCTTGCTGTATTGAATAAACACTTAGGCAGAATTAACTAGGTCATAATATTTCTTGTGGGGTCTTTCTAAGTGATACTGAAGATCATACTGCATTGTATTTTTTTTCAAAAACATAATTGAAGTGGAGTTGTTCTTTAATAGAGGGTTCAATGTTTGTGGGTTACCTCATCCGATATTTTATTCCCACTACTGTTTAATTAATTTTAGCCTGTCATCATCATCCTCTTTTAGAACAAATAATTGAATGGGGCTTACTAGCAGTGACTTGACAATAATAACTAGCAGTAAGAAAAAGTTATAATGTGAACGCCACGCATCATTCATTAGGCCGAATGGAAACATTCCCGGGAGAGACGGGAATTTGAAAGAAATTGCAAAGGTGACTGACGCAGCAGGAAGTTGTGTAGCAGTGGCCGAGCGCTTCTCACTTTTCAGAGAACCTTTGCGGCGGCCGGTTCCACCAACACCTTCGTGACAAGTTTGCACCACAAGTGGTTCGCTACGTGGACCTCATGGAGTCTTCCATTCATCAGTCGCTCCTCAAAGGCCTGGAGAAAGAGCGCTGGGAACTCAAAGGGTTGGTAGCGCAGGGACCGCATGTCGTTTATGGAGCTCCAGCACTGCCTTACTACGCAGACGCTGACAAGGAAACCTGCACCATAGTCTGCTGCAGGTTAAGGAAAGCGGGACAAGCCTCTTCCACAAAGCTCTGTGCATGCTATGTTGGGTGATTTCCCCCTCTCCATTTGCCTTCTCTCCAGCTTTTGCTCTACTGGAGTGGAAAGGGCAGAGGGCTTTGTGGGAAAAGCCTGCCCTGCTCTTTCTTTACCTGCAATAGGCCATTGCTGTTTAATGAATGCTGCTACCATAAACTTCAGATAATGAGGATTACATATGTTGTTTATACGAGCGAAATGGTTAAAGTGTATATAAGTAGCAAAGCAGCCACAATGGAGGTCCCAAGGAGGTGTGTCATTAGTATGAAGCTGCAGGGTCAGAGAGGGAAGAAAGCTCGGTTTTTTGGCTCTCGTAAACAAAATGCACATCACTGGAAGGTGGGACTTCGTGTGAATGGCCCCTAGCGGTCGCGATAGAATGCCGGAGTGTGAAGATCAAGAAGTTCCCTGGATCGGAACATAAAACCAAAAAGGAAAATTATCTATGAGCCAACATCCACTTAGCCTGTATTTGTCAAACCAAGAAATGACATTGTGGGTGCCCGTGACGTATATTTTAGCAAAAACACTTTTCTGCAAGAAAAAAAAAAGTCTTCCTACTGACAAGTTTATTTTAGTGAAATAAATGCCACAAGTGCCCACAATGCCATTTCTTGTTTTGACGAATTATTAAGTCGACATCGATTCATAAAGAAATTTAGTTTTTCGGTTTTATCTTTTGACCCAGGCAACGTCATGTTTTGAAACTTTCACATTCTTTTACCACTACTAGCGTCACATTCATACTGAAATTCTAGATTTCTGCGATGTGTATTCAGCGATCCAAAAAAGTGGGTTTAATTTTTTTGCTCGAACATTGTAGTATAAAAGATGAGTGTAAAAATTGTGATGGGTCATAAGCATCCCTAATGAAGGCAAACCTCAGATAATATTTTCTATTTTTTACACTTAATGCCTAATATAAATCTGAATTAATTAAGGCCATTTATCATGGTTCATATTTAATGAGGTAATGTTCCCTTTGAAATCCATATGCCATCCTGTGGCCACACAATATACACTTGTCACGGTCCAGCAACCAACAATCACTTGCATGGCGGCTGGTGCTAATTGCTTGGCACCATATAGCGAGGAATGGACAGTGAATATTTCGACATTGCGTTTATGTTTGTAGGTGAGAAATGGTTCAGTGTTAGTGACTCTAATTTGCAGGCATAAATGCCAAATTTGTTGTGGTAACATCGATGAAACAAAACTGTACTAAGATATCTGTGCTCTTTGTTTTTGTAGCGATAATTCAACAGAGATTCAGACAACCGATGAAACAGACTCGTAAGTAACCTTTAAAAGGGAGTAATATTGAGTGATGTTGACTGTCCGGGCATAATGGTTTCAGGCTGCATGGTGCATGACGAGGAAGGGGTGGATTATATGGGAGTGCCAAATTTAATACTCTTAATTGCAAACATTCATGTGAACTGTTGTGTACTTTATTTATTCATTTACAAAATACATTAAGGACCTGGAGACATTATACAACTCTGGTACATTGACATGACATGAGTATAGAAATCATTCTATTAATAGTTTGAATATTACAGGAAGTGTACTAATATATAGGATTCATTCAAAAGAGGAAGACATGAAGGAAGCAAAATCGAAACAGACTTCGGAAACATAACCATGTAAAGAGTCAGCAAGAAAGGGGTTGCAACTCAATTTCTAGCCTGTGCAGGTTTATTTTAATGCATTTTATATTGCTGTTAGCATATACTACTGCCTGTAGTTATCTTGTCCCTTTTAAGTGTAGTCTACTTTCAAAATTTCAACCATATTTTTTTGTCGAAGCATGTTTTGTTTTTGAGCGTAAATATTCGTAAAAAGGTAAAATTAATTTGTTACTTCTGTATCGCTTTTGCAACTGTGCACAGACTAATTCTCATTGAAGCAGTAAAAGGGAAGTGGGGGAAGTTTACAATACAACTTTGATAATCAGTTTTAATTCCCTAACTACACAAATGTGTCTTTCTTGAGTTGTTTAAGAAGTAAAATTTTATCACCTGTGTACACTATCCTACACAAAGCTTTTCATACAGCCTAGTCGAGATGGCTGCCACAAGCCCATAGCAGTTAAGGAGTTGGCCATCCTCCTCATTGTAAAGTCACATCAAACCAAGGTGATGTTACACTGAATAGCTGGGTGTGTCAAGACTAATCCCGGAGAAAAACTCACCGGAGAAAAGCTCACCGGAGAAAAGCTCACCGGAGAAAAGCTCACCGGAGAAAAGCTCACCGGAGAAAAGCTCACCGGAGAAAAGCTCACCGCAAAACCGGCGGATGCGGAGAAAAGCTCACCGGCCATTGAGCGTATGCGGAAGAAAGCTCACCAATTTTTTTTTTCTTTTTATATGGAGACAGTTGGATCATGCGTAACGTATATCAATTTATTAACATTAAAATTCGTCAGCTTTGTAAAAAAGAAAATATCCTTTTTTGTAATATTTGTTAAGCTTATTGGGTATATTGCTCCCAAATTAATAATTGCGGGCGAGTGTTTTCTATGGCTTACCCTCTACGCAACGAAGCCTAACTGAAAACTTTATGCACTTGAAGAACAGGAAAAAGTTGAAAACTTAATAATGTCTGCCTAAAACCTAAAAATCAAAACTGTAAACGCCTAAGTTCGAAAGTGCACGCGCAACAACGCGGTGCCTGAAATTCTCTTTGAAGCTGTTGTTCACCTTTGAAGAGAGGTATATAGTCAGTAGGATATTGAGGCTTCTTTCTTCCGCGAACATGCACATTTTCTAGCCGTTCGTGCTGGTGTTTCCACTCTATGCCTTTGTACGATAGTGCCCTTCTACTGCGAACCACCCATTACCTTCAGAGCTGCACACTGGCACCGTTGTTACTCGTGACCTATATAATAAGTAGTCTTGTGTGATGTAGCGAATAGTGCGAGTTGGTAAACGTTATACATGATGAAAACCGCTCAAACGACGACGACGGAGTGAAGACAACAAACACGAAGGGACGAGGCTGTTCTCGCAACTAAAGCTTTGTGAGTGAAATTAACAGAAAGAAAACAGCGTAGCTGACCCTGATTACATCAACAAATACCTACTTATCTATTAGGCACTACACAATATTTGGAGCTGAGACGGTTCACACACCGCTATTCATATTAGCTCGCAAAGAACAAACCTCTTTATCTGACAGGGCTACCGAAGGCGCACTGTCAGCTGTGAACAAATTGTTGTTTTTTCTTACCAGTGTACAATGTTCTTATTTTATACTTGCGGCTTATTTAATATACATAATGGCCGATTACTAATTTCTGAGGAATTAGTAAATATGCCCAATGAACCTCAGGAATATTGCGAAGACAGAGGAGATATTTTTAATGAAGTGACGAATGCTAATCGTGTTAAATTGCCACGTTTGACGTAGAATTCGCTAAGTTAAAAAAATTCGGTGAGCTTTTCTCCAGTGAGCTTATCTCCGGTGAGCTTATCTCCGGTGAGCTTTTCTCCGGTGAGCTTTTCTCCGCCGCCAGTCAAGACTACCTATACTGCAGAGGGACCCATTTCAGGTGAAAATATGTCTATGATTGAAGTGTGACTATGTATGTGACTGTACTACCCCCCCCATAGCAAAGTCACTTTCTAAGACACAATCGTAATTACGTCGCTGCTTTTACTAGCACGTCAATACTTCAAATGCCTGTATTGACAACAGTAGGAGCCTAGTGCAACTTTGGTTGATACTTTTACGCACAAAAGGATAAACACAGAACACGATATCTTTCACACAACATTTTGAAAGATGTTTCATTCTGCGCTTCATCCTATGTGTTTAAAACTTATCAACACGCTCGGTTTTTAATAATTTGGTTTACTATCAAGAAAGGTTGCGAGTTGACGTAGTGTCGAAATCTACTTCCTTTTGTAAACTCGGTTTACTGTAGGTGGGTCTACTTTAAGACCAAATCACTTTTACAGACTTGAAAGTTGGATGTCTGTGTGCCCCCATCTTACTTTTGGTGTGTGTGAATCTTCCGATAGTCAGGCCTGTCCATGGTTGTGCCCGTTGCGCCCCAATAAAGCTTTTACCACCCACAACGGCCATACCAAATTTTGAAGCGTGGCTGCTTGCAGGTGCATTATACAAGTGTGCAAGCAGCCATGCTTCAAAAGCTAGTCTCGTCCCGTGGTTTGGAGGGGGCACCAGTCTGCCAACCATAGGCTTACCTTAGCGAGGCTTCGCTATCAGACGATCTACAGGGTGTTTCCGAGTGCTGTTCAAGCGTAAAAAGATTCCTATAAATAAACCCATGAGCTGAGTACAATAAAACTTTTTGCACAGGTATGTTTAGGTGGTGCATTTATCCTACTCAAATTTTATGAGTGTAGGCTCTAAAGAAAAAATTTAAGCCTAAAGAAACCTGCTTTTTCCTATGCACAGGGAGAAAAGCGGCAAAAATCGCTCGGTTTACGCAGCCACTCACAGATGGCAAGACATAAAGCAAAAACGTGAAAGTTTGTTTGAGATGAAAAAATAAAAGCAGATTCGACAGTTCTGAGCATATGTGATGCCATCTGTACGTAGCAGCATCAACCAGACGCTTTTTGCCGTTTTCTTCCCCTTGCATAGAACAAAAGCAGAGTTTTTCAGGCTTATATTATTTTCCTGAAACCTGCACTCATAAAATTTGAGCATGATAAATGCACAACCTAAAAGCACCTCTGTGAAAAGTTTCAATGCACTCCGTTTGTTAGTTTATTTATACAGAATTTTTAATGCCCGAGTAGCGCTTAGAAACACCCTGTAAACAAACCAAAAGCAAGATGGCAGTGCCCAGAGGCTGTGGCATCCAAGCATGTTGTGGAAATGGCTGTCTCTAAGAAAGACGGGCCATGGGCATTGCGCAGCAATGGATGCCCGTCGTCGGAGGAGCTGTTCTGGAAGCTGGACGCCTTGCAGTCTTTTATCCGAGACTTGCACTGGCCGGACGAGGAGTTTGCCAAGCACCTAGAGCAGAGGCTCAAGATCATGGCTTGTGAAGACATCGACATATGTATCAGTAGGTGAGTCTGCCTGCAGCTATATTGGTACACCCACACACGCTTTGGATAGGGTTCGTTTTTCACCTGTCGTTGGGCTCTCATTGTGCGTATAATTTTCCCGTCTTGAAATATTTGGAGTCATAACAATTATAAGACCTCTGCCTTTTTGGCTTTTGTGAGTGTCTTTAACGTTTTTGTACTAGAGTTGCCATTGTTTGTGGATGTCTTTACCGGCTCGTGCCATTTCGGCTTTTTCGTGCTTGTCTGGGCTATCGATACCTCTCTGCAGCGTGTCTTAAATCATTAAATGCTGCAAACTTGCCAGGCTCTGAATTTAGCAAAAAAAGGGACATTCCAAATGTTTGTTGTGAAATGTTTGCTAAAAACCCAATCAATAAAAATTTAGGAACAGTTATGGCACCAATCGGTAAAACAGTTCTCATATTAACAGGCACGCGAATCTCTAAAAGCTCGTTCATGCATTTGCTAAGGACCTAGTTCTTGCAGTCTCTTACGACGAGAAAACACTGCATGCTGGCGCCATCTATAACGTGACCCTGGAACTGTAATTCACTAGAGTGAAGGTTTTGCGGTACTTGCGAGATCAAACATACCTATTATCTACGAAAAATGGTTATTTACAGCATCGTCAAAATTTTTCCATGCCAAAAAAGAATGATGCACAAAAAAAAAAAAGGAAATACAGTCAAGCCTGCTTATATTGGACAACGCGAAGATCATAAAAAAGTTTGATGATATAGCGAAAATTTGGGACAAAATGAAGCAAAAAAGTGCATGCAATGCAGCCGACACAGTCAGGAGCTAACTCTTACCAGCTTGCGCTTCACCGTTGATCAGAACACTTTCTTGAAAAAATCATTTAATATGGGATACTGCGTAAGTGTAGCCTGCTCCTCTGAACGCGTACCTGGTAACGTCCTGCTTCACGCTAGCGAAACAGCGGACGGGCACAAGTCCGCTGCCCTTGATGGCACTGCAGTAGCGGTGTAGCGGGGCCACGGTAGCTCGGAAGCGTTACGGAGTCTTCGGCGTCTGTAGGACTGGGCATGCCGCTCGCAACAAGCCACTCCCGAACAACCTCGGTGGCGATCTCGATGTAAATCGGCTTCGCCATGGTTCTCGCAACGTCGTTGTCGTCGTTGCCGACGTCAAGGGAATCACGGCGGAGCTGAGCGACATTGAGAGAAACAGACGTCGTCTTTGCCGACGTCCGTTTCTTTACGCTGGCAGCCATCTTAATTGGGAAGAGACAAGCGAGACTAACCCGAACATGACGGAGTGACGTCGTCGGCCGAGTCGCCGAGTGCGGGAAGTGGGTGGCACGGACGTGGGGATCGGTGACACTGCTGTGCCCTACATGGCGCTTCCGGTGCCAGCGACACGCGCGCACCATATTTACAGCTGGTCGAGCTTTCCAGAATCGCAAGCGCCTGCCGCGCCACTGCCGTGCACTGGTGTGATGCGGGGAAGCCTGCCGCACGCCTATGGAGCATGCACGTACTGGTGCGGGAGAGCTCAATATATCCATTATGAGCCCGATCACATTCATTATAAAAAAGTTAAAATGCGTCTAATTTTATCACAATTCTACGAGGGTTCGATATAGGCAGTAATTCGATATACCTACGTTCTATATAATCGGGTTCGACTGTGTATGGGAACTGCAAGTGTATAGAGGGCACCAATGTCTTCTGTCATCATAATAGTTTTTAAGAGGTTTTAAGGCACACGGTCAAAAGCTGTCGCAAGTGAGTGAATCGTTCGCGTCGTCCATCTCCCAAAGTTCTTTTCCAGTTTTGGGTTGCTCCTTTTTTCTTTCGAGAGTGCTCGATTTTGGTCGAGGAATGTGTTTTGCGTGTCCGGCGGCGTCATCTTGCTGGCACGTGTGTGTGCACCCACGTGCAGGACACTGCAGGCGTTCCAGCAATGGCAGAGGCGGGGGAGCAAGTGGACCAGCACAGACTACATTGTGCCCTCCGAGATGTGCGCCATGATCAACGTCGCCCTGGAGGCACGCACCCAATCCCTCAAGCTCTGTACCGTCGACGGCGCAGACCTGGTAACGATAACGATTGATGGCAACCTTCTAAGTCCTACAATGCATGAAATGCAGTATTTTGGGGAGCGATCGTCTAAATTGGTTTAGAAGACTTTAAGAGTTGTTTCGGGGAGTGAAGAAGGACCTATATTTTTATCAATTTCCCCACTAAATTTAGCCGGGAAACTCACTTGGTGCAAAGGTCACGCAACATAAATTTTTCCTCCAAATTTGGGGGAGGAACTAAATTGGTGTTCCGGTCATGTGACATCAGTTTTCCTGCTAAATTTAGCAAGAAATACTTGGACAGACGGACAAACTTTCGGTGTTGGGGGGTATCATTCAAAAAGTATTTCATGCTTTAACAATAATAATGATGATGTTTAATCATAGAGTTATTATAATGTACGCTAGAGGTTCAACTGGCGCTAGTGTCTATGCGACTTCCGGGAGGCAAATTGAAGCAGACAGCAACCAGTCTACTTTTGCGGTGCTCCTGTGCATTCCTATGGGAAAACGCACGTGCATTTTGTCTCTTCGCCGGAAAACAACATGAATAACTTTTGTTATTTCTGTCGTAACGAATAGTATGTACCCTTATTGGTATTGTGAAAGTGCAATTGCTTTAGTTACAGCATTTTTCTTTACCGCTGAACGATGTTAAACTTTGCTATATTTCAGGCCCAAACCTCTGTTCCACGGCAGGTACGCAAAAACGAGCGACGATTCTAAGCAAGATAACGATCGAAAGGAATGCAGAGTGTGTTCGAGCTTCGCTAGCATTCCGGTGGCGCTTATATATTGCTAATATGCCCGTCCTGTCTTTATATGAAAATGACTCCGTCGTGCGCATCTTTACGATCGGTTAAAAAATATTTGAACATAAAAAAAATAAAGTACGTTGGCCACGAAAGGTGTGTCTTTTTATTAGTCCCTATGTCGGGCAGCTTTTATCGGGCACCTGTTCTCTGGCTTCTCCCTATTTGGAAAGATTTGGAGCGTGCGGGTGACGCTTTGAACCCAGAACAAGCATCTTCGCACACGAGTAGAAAGAATAAAGCAGTACTTATTTAATGGAAATCGGACTTTATTACGTGGCTTTCAATTTATTTTGATCGTCTGCATGCACACGGAGTTACTTATCCAGTGTTACTGCGTAGTTCTTGCCGTCTCTTGGTTTTCCAGATGTCCTTCGTTCGTTTGGCACGTATATCCCCGATGCTAGAAAGCGCCGATGCCGTGTTCGCGCTAACAGTGTCCGACAGTGCACATAAATACACGTACGAAGCGGTTTTAGCACCGTTTTTCAGGCCACGAATTTAAAATAAAAACGCCGTAAGTGACCAATTATTTTGTCTGCCTGACTGAGAAATGTTTCAATGTGCCTAGTACGTACGAATTATTCGTGATATTTTCTCTTATAATCGAGCGCAGAGAGAAAATGCACTCGCTTTTTCCCATAGAAATGCATTACCGGAAGTCAATTTCGGACTGGTTGCTGTCTGCTTCAATTTGCAGCAGCACACTAGCGCCAGTTGAACCTCTAGCGTACATTATAATAACTCTATGTGTTTAATCTGGCTGGACAGTGCCTCTTCCCAGGGCACTAACTGCCTGGGAAACCTCTGGATTCTTCAAATCTCCCAGTTATCTCCAAACTGACATGATGCATGGCATTCTCATGGGCAGATGATCGCAGAAAGTATTTAATTAAACTTGAGCTGTTGTGCGGAATACTGGGTACTCTGTAAAGTACCAATATAGGATAGTCGTATGCATACTCATAAAAATAAAATATGCCCAATTCATTCCTACTTATGAAGTTTCGACAAGAGAGACACTTTTGAATGCTTGACTGGAAAGAGTTGATGCCAAGATTTTGTTTTCATGCCTGACTTGTGCTGTAGAGCGGGGCATTGTTACACAGTCTAATGCAATGCCGGTGGTCTGTTGCAGCACCAGTGCCACAGCAGGATTGATAGCCTGGTGGATGGCACCCTGCAAGAGATGCAGGCTGGACTCATTGGGAAGGTGAGGACCCTGGCATCAACCTGCCTTGGGTGTAACCAGTTAAGGTTATATTAAGACAGTGTAGGCCATTTTGACACAAGTTTAAACATTTATTGAAATAACATTGAAATTTGGGGGGATTTCATTTCAACTATGCTTGGAGCTTTCACTGTGTAAAACCGACGACTAAAATGTTTCTTCGGCAAACAGTTTGTCCCTGCTGGGTACACAAGCGGTAATTCATTTTAGTCAATTTTATGCGTTAGGTCTAAATGTTGAGCCACACTATGTATCCTACATAGTATGTGTGCAAATTTATTTGAGGCACCTGCATAAAATGGGTGTGCTATAGTGACTAAGTATTTGTTTCTAAAGGAAGGGCAGAGGTCTGCTTGAAAGCTAGTGTCTAGGAGCCTTCCCGGTGCAAAATTTATCTTGTTTTTCAGCTGACGAGCATCCTGGAAGCAACATTGGGCAAGCTGTCACGCTACGATGAAGGAAGCCTTCTGGCTCCAATCTTATCACTCACAGTCAGTCCACCTTGTTTTTTTTTCTTTTTGTAACACATTTCTAGTCATGTGCTAATAATAGATCTTGAGTTCAAAGCGAATCATGATTTTGGCCGAATGTTTTTGAATCAAATAGGGAATATTTTCTCCGAGCCTTTCACTACTGTTGCACCATGCTTAAATGAAAACCCGGCTAAACTCGTGAAAGTTGTTCCCAAGCTTCCGCTTGTCTATTTATGAGCTAATTTGAATCAAACTATACTTAAAAAATGCGACCTCAAAAAGTCCGATGTTTGTGATGGCAAGTAAATGATGAATGTGGCATAAAATTAAACCTATAAAGATACCCAGCTATACCTGATTGAGTGGATTTACAAATCTTGCTATATGCAAATATTCTTTCTTCAATCTCGAATAAAAAGATTAAAAAAGTCATGAATGATAAACGCAGGTTGTTAGAGCATCTTTGCCTATTGCAGTCTTGCATAACGGCCCTGTTTAATTTTGAAAATTTTACTGCATATCAACCTTCACAAAGTTCCCATTTCTTTCTGAATATACCAGGCACGCACATGTACAATCGCACTTTGAAAGTGTGTTTTCCTCCCAAGCACGCAATTGCGATATTCATACTTTTCCGAGTGTTAATGGGGTGGGTTACCCTGTTGAATGGGCTTCTTACCGAGCACCGGTGCACTGCGGAGAAGCAACATTCGCAAAGCTCGCTTTCGCGGGTGTTGCTTTTCGGCAGTGCACCCGTCCTTGGTAAGAAGCGTGCTCAATGGAGCCAACCCACCGCGATCAACACTAGAAGAATACAAATATTGCAATTCATCTGAAAGCGAATATTGAATGGTGTATTATTCTAAACTACTATTCGAAATTTTTATTCGCACAACATTACATTTCTCAATTAGCCGAAGTACACTGAGTGTTCTAAAGCAATTTCGGTAGGGCCTTAATTTTTATTAATTTCACAAACGCGAATCAAGTGAAACAAACTTTTAATGTGGTTGTACTTTGCCCACACCAGTTATAATACAGCATGTTCCCCAAAAAAGTTTGTGGGTTCTTTTCAATGCCAAAGTAAACAATGCATTGCAGAATGCCTAGCGTCCACCCAAAATGTAGCACTAGCGGTTTGAACGAGATGCCGAAGTTTCAGAACCGTTATTTTAATTAAAAGTTATGAGATTTTTTGATAATTTTAATGGGAAAACAGGTCCAGTTTTTGGTAACTGGCGCCATTCAGCTCCATGTATTTGAGGGCTCCGTCAGCTGCCATTTTCCTATTTAAAATTTAAGAGAAGCACTTAAAGGGCAACTCCGCTCAATTCCGAAAATTCCGGGATTATGAGTGATTTCACATTAAAAAGCACTAATAAAAGGCACCACATCATTTGCTTTGCGAGAAATGGGATATATTAGTATAACGATCAGCAGAAACCCAAACCCAAACTTCGGCTCCTTCGGGCAACATTGGCCTCGGGCCGCCAAAAACACGGCTACCACGTGGTACGAGAAATCACATGATCCTCTACGCAAGAACAGGCGGGATGGGGGTGGGGCAACATTGGGGCGGGCCTGTGCAAGGTACAAGCGTCGTCTCCACCGCAGTCTTCACGTTTTGGCGTCTATGATATCTGACAACTGCGGCATCAGTCTGCGCACGTAGGGTGGACGAAATTCCGAGAGACTATAATCACGAACGGCGAGGTGACGACGGCGGTTGTGACGACGGCAGAAGACGGCAGTAACGGCAGGACAGCCGGATGGCTCCCGAGGCTGAGAAGAGTGCTGCGCAGGCGCATTAGGCCAATCACAGGGACACCACCGAGTGCCAAGAGGAGACGCTGCTGACGTCATCCAAAACGCTTGCCCGGAGAAGTAAAAACAAACAAAAAGTAGCAATATTGGTGGCGTTTAGCTCAATGTTGACAACACCGACACCGTAGCCTTTACTGCGCTGTTGATGGCCCCTCAGTTCGCCTGCTAGAGCCAGCCGATTTCGGCAACTTCCAAAGTTTGCCGGACCGTTTAAGAAACATTTAGACAGAACTAGGTCGTGATATTTGACGTGTGGTCTTCCTAGGTGATACTGAAAGGGCTGCATTGTTTTTTTCAAAAAACGAAAATGAAGCGGAGTTGCCTTTTAGCTTTCTAATAAGTTAACAGTTAGTCCTGAAACTTTGGCATCCGTTCAGACCATGAAAGCCATATCAACTCTGTTCCGAAATGATGCTCTAGTCACGGTGCAGAGCTGCTTCAGAGTGGCGCGCTGGACGTCTCACGCATAATGCTCCGTTGTCTCCAGTATCGGCAGGGCATGTCCAGCTCCGGCAAGGAGGTGGGCCACACGTACGTCAACTTTGTCCGCAACAGCATGGAGCAGCTTCGGCAGAAAGTCAGCGACGAGCTCTGGGTGCTTGCGCTCTTCGAGGTGGGTGATGCTCCCCGCTCGCTTCTAGCGTCAAATTCATTACATCCATCACATAACCTCACATACCCTTCCATATCATCATACACCTTTGCGTATCATCGCATACTGCCAAATACCATCACACACCGCATGCCATCACATACCTTTGCATACCGTCACATCCAAGGGGCATTCATAAAGTTCACATTATTGTCGCAGCCGTTTATAACGAAGTCGGTTATAACAAAATAGCGGCTATAGTGAAGCGATCACGATTTCACATTCCCATTTGCACATTTTCAATGTGTCTGTGTCTGTCTTTAGTAGTCGCCTCGGTGGCTCTGTGGCGAGAGCGCTGGCGTACAGATCCCCATGTGGGGGGTTCGAATCCCGGCCGAGGTGCCCGCAATCTGACGGAGGCTTATTGCGGAGAAGGCGCCGTGTAACCAAGCTTTCGGTTGCACGTCAAAAGATCCCCAGGTGGTCCAAATTAACCCTCAGTCCTCCGCTGGGGCGTACCAGATGCCCGTCGTTGGTTTGGCGCGTAAAACGCCCAAATTTGACTTTTGACTTTGTGTCTGTCTTTAGCGAAGGAGATTGAGCAGCTCCTGTGGATATAGCAAAAAAAATTTTACTAAAAAATAAGAAAAACGTTTGACCTCTGAAAGCTGCTAGCGTTGCAGATCGCCGCACTTTGCTGCCTCGGCACAGCAGCCACCCAGAACGAACCGCACACGTGCTGCAAAGGCCGTCGGTGACAGCCTCTGCATCGTCGTCTGCCCCCCTTCTCTACCTGAGAAGCGGCTTTTCTGCATCGCTTGCGGAGAGGCTGTTGTTGCGTGCCAATAGGGGCGTTCGCAGCGCTAGCGACAACGTACCTATGATGTACCGACGGGGACAATGGAAAGAACCTAATTTCAGAGAGGGAGCAACTCCAATTTAATGGCCAATGCCTCCTGGACAGATGGGCTCAAGTGCGCCTGAATTTGGTTGTTTCATGGCCAGCGTGGCGAGGAAACCGAGCGGAGAGACGGACACGTTTGCGGACGGTGAACACTTTTGACTCTGCGGGCTGCAGCTCGTTTTTGCAAATGCGGGTTACATACCACGTGACCCCAATTGAGCAGTTGCCCCCTTACTTAAATATAGGCTCTCTATACCGTCGAAACACAAACTTCGGTGCGAACTCGGTGCCATGCGCGGCTGGTCGTTGTGGTCTCTCTCTGCTCTCTGCGTGAAAGTCTAGCTTCACAGAAGCACCGATTCAGCGACTCATTGCCACGCAACGATGGCGAGTTCCGGCACTGCGACGGGGAAGACGAATGCAATCTTTTCGAAACAACAGCATACCGCCATCCTCGACGAATTGTGCATCAATGTAAAAAACACCGTCCACCGCCAGCGTCCCCCGCGGTGGCCATCGCAGCTGTCTATAGGGCTCTGGACATTATGTAGCTCACAGGATTTTCTTTCGGTTGGAGCTTCTCGCACTTGCCGAGAAGCTTTTCTGATTTAGCAGAGATCGCGTGCAAGGAAGCCTCCACTGCTTTCTGCAGGCCCGATAAACATGTGCCCATAATGGCCCGTTTTATTTTTTTGCACATTACTTTTATGAAGTCCAGATATAACGAAGAAGCAGATATAGCGAAGTGATTTCAGATCCCTGTCCACTTAGTTATAACCGGTCTTGATAGTATTGTCATGAAGGAATAGAAATTTACCAATGAAACCCAAAGTCACACACTTTCACCAGAGGTGGACAACCTGTTGGATGCCATTGTTAGAGAACTTCTCGTTTTGAGTAGATAGATAGATAGATAGATATTTATTTGTACACTTAAGAACAGGCCGCAAGTGATTGCACGACCAAGTGCAATCACTTGGTCGTCATCCTTAAAATGCTTTCCACACAGTGGAGTCTTCAGGTGAGGGAAGAGGAAGAGTCATAAGGTGTGAGGTCGGGTGAATATGAGGGATGACGCAAAAATTCGTAACCTAAAGTGGCCACGTGTGACAATGTCGCCTGTGCAAAGTGAACTAGGGCATTGTCATGAAGCAGATGGATGGCCTTCGTGAGCTTCCCTCTGTGCTTTGCCTTGATAGCTCCTGGCAACTTTTCAGAAGCTCACGCAATGTTTATACTGTGTCGAAACTAGAGTTATGCGCTCTCGTGTTGATGCCTGTTCTGTTCTCCTTTTTAAAATACCCGGTGCCGATAATACAAACTTTATGCGCCACTTGTACCTGTTGGAATCACCCACATGACACAATTATTTTATCCTCAAAGCGGTCAAGCAGTCGTCACTTAAAGTGATGGTTCCATCTTTGAAGCAATCACATGACTTAGTAACTCCATCAATGAAGCGAGCTAGCTACGATATGTTCAAGGCTATAGTCAAGTGATCACATGACTCAATAACTCCATCCTTCAAGTAACCTGGCTATGGTCAAGCAGTCATCGCTTGGGGTGATGGCTCCATTTTTCACGTGTTCACATGACTCAGTAACTCTATCTTTGAAGCAATCTAGCTATATTCGAGGTTAAAGTCAAGTATAATCAAGCCCTCATTGCTTGAGGAGGTCACAGGACTCTGACTCCGGCCTCAAACCGATCCTTGAAGCACTCTTCCTGTTGCAGCAATGGTATGCGGCCCAGATGAGCCTGCTGTGTTCCTGGCTCTCCGAGCGATTGGACCATGGACTGCACTCATTCCAGTTGTCAGCATTGCTGCACATTGCTCGGGTCAGGAGACGCCCCTCAACATCTCTTTTTTTTTTTTGTGCCCCAATTTTTTAGTTTGCTATCTAGGCCCGACTCTTTTTGGAAAGTCATGCAAAACGCCAGAAAGGCACCCTTAAATAGGGATGATGTCTATCTCAATGCTATGTCCTCTCAGCTTAACTGCCATCATAGCTCTGGACAAGCAACAGCTCAGGCACGAATGAGTGGGAACCTGCGCACGACTTACGAATAGATAATGATGCATTTGGTGTGGAAGACCCAAATTTAGCGGGTAAGACTAAGCTCTGCTTCACCTTATGATGGACTGCGGCGGATGCTACGACCGTCGGAACCAGTCCAGTGCCATGTGAGAGTCGTGTGCCCTTTCAAAAGGGTGCAGGGGGTGCAAAGTCACGTGATGTGCTCAAAGCACTGGATTGGTTAAGGTGGCTCATAGTGTTTGCTTCGATCCATCTAAAGGGGAAACAGAGTGTAGTGAGTACCTGTGCGGCGGTTCTCAAACCTTTTTATCTCGAGGAACACACATCATCCTTGATGATAGCCAGGGATCCCCCCGTGGTCTTAGTATTGATGCGGTAAAGCAGTACAGAAGCTTGCAGACCTTGTAAACAATTATGCACAAACCATGTAGTGTCCTCCGCATAGTTATGCATCAATGAGTGGCTCGGATCCTCTAACGCAGTGCCTAAACAGAAGGAACATTTGATTTGGGGTCAGGGAGGGCCGAGAAAATATTGTGGCTTGGGGAACCCCATGGAATCCTAGGAACCCAGTTTGAGAACCCAATATAATAGACCTTAAGACTAGGGAAGAACAAGGGACGACACGGGGTTTTAGTCTATGATGTTTAACCATCACCAGCTCAACTGCGCCCTAACTTTCTGTTCATCAAGAACCTAGATGTTAGGGATACGGCGACAAATGAATGATGACACGATGGGGCTGTGGGATGGCTCTAAGCGCCGGTTCTACATTCGGGGCTGCAGAAGCTGTACTCGGACTTTGAGCTGCAAGGCATTGAAGAGGAGAAGCTCAACTCCAAGGTTTACCAGACGGTCTGCAGCCGGCTTCAACTCGAAGAGGCTGCCGCCTCCGTCTCGGACAGCAGCCGGGAAAAGGATGACTCAGAGTGAGTCGACACTTTATGGCCCCGGTTTTGCGCAAAGTAGAGGCCTGTCTTGGAAACTAGACGTTTCTGGCTTACGTTTCCTCTCGACCCAAGGTCCTCCTCTGGGACACGCGAGACGCAGTTTGTCGGTGTGGCACGTAAATTTACAGTTTCATTTGTGCCTTGATCCTGGAAGTTCACCATTTCAGTCGAATCGCTGCAGGAAAGAAATACGGAAGATTGAGAAATTGAGTTAAATTAAAGGAGAAAGGGCCTAAAATATTTTATTTTTATGGGTTTATAATAATGTTTGGTAATGGCGACATTTGTGAAAGATGGGGTGTAATGTTTAATGGAAAATGCTTGCGGTAGATTTTGAGAAAGTTTGTGTCGATGTCTGGTTACTGTACCACATGACCTTCTAAGCGGTTCCCGACTTGACGAAGATTGATTAGACGGCTAAATATGCCTAGGAGTCGCATGCCGTATTTACTCGAAATATTGCCACGCGCGTCGCCGAGTGAGCGCATGTGTGGTCGAGTGGTTATTGTGCTTGGCATCCGTGTGGAGGCCCCGGGTTTAATTTTTGAAAGCGACGCATCTTTTATTAATTCTTTCAATTTAACGTTCTTGTAAGTTCGAGAACCTTGTCGTCTGATCGAGGTATGAATGTTCTACGCCAAATATTCCAGAAACCTATGCGGGTACATAAGGGACTTCGCATGATGAGTCAGAGTCGGTCTCGCCCCAGCGTTTGACCCTGCTGAGAAAGGCTAGCATCGAGCCTACGACGCTAGCCTTTTTTTATTTTGTTTTGGGCACAAGTTTGCCCCATTAAACGTTTAGTTTGCTTCAGTATTTGTCGCCTCATCGAACAATCATTCGTGACAATACGACCTTTGAATATTGGCCAACTTCTGTACTAGACTAGCCAAAAATAATAAAAAAATATTCAAAAGTAGACATGTTAATGTGCGAGTGGTGCAGCGCCGTAGAACTCGTGCTGCACCATTCGCATTGAGCTTCACCGCTTTGCAACGGCAGGCTCGGAGAAGTGGTTGTGCATTTTTGCTATTTAGCTCAATTCGATCGGAAAACTTTGCTCACTATTATTCTTATAAGTGCACTTCCTTCGATTACGATTGTAAGTTGACCATAATTTCAAAGAGCAGGGACAGAAAAATGATGCTGACCCATGTTCGAATAAATACGGTATGCTCTAACCCTAAAGCCATTTGCAAGGCAGTGTAGCAGCTGGCTCCCGGTTAGCTTGCTGTCGAAATACGGTGCAGCAGACGACACTTGCTCGGTTGATGGCTGGGGGGAAAGCAAAGAGGCGACTGCTGCGCCCTACCGTGGGGCTCTGCGTTGATGGGGCCGCTGTGCTTGCTTCCAGAGTGAAACGGGGCAGGAGTCTGCGCTTTAAAAATGCCATGTCCGTAAGTAACAGCTGCCATGCTCGGCTGGGTTGGCACCGGTGGTGGTGGGCGGTGGCGGTGGCACAGGGGGCCCAGGAATGTGGGGCGTACAGTTGTGGACAGAGATAGCCGGAGTGCACGACTGCCTTTTGCCTCGCACGTTGGCTCAACTTGGCTGCAATAAACGAAGCGTGACGAGTGTCGAGGAGCCACAAGAAACAACCCTCCTCGTAGGGTGAAATTACCTCCTACCCGTATGCCATTGAACAAACGCACAGGCAAAAAACTCAATCGAACCGTAGGAAAGGTTCTTTTCAAAGGTTCGATTGAAACTCAGTCGAACCTTTGAAAGGAAAAGCATACTCGCATTTAGCGACGCATTGCCGAGATTGCGAGTGCGAACCACGCTTCACAGACATAAGATTGTTGTTCCAACACAACAACAATTGTCCTGGGAAATAATTGAAGCCTATCATAAAACAGAAAACAAATCCATGTACATAAGCCAGCCATCACTGATCCTTATGGACAATGAATTGAATTTTTCGGATTTGGGTTAGCACTTGATCTGAAGCAAGAGGTGTTTAAATATCACATCGTGCCAGTGCCTGTGCGAGCATAAGTGTCTATTTTCTGTTTCTGTTCTACTAAGATTTCAGTGGCTAGTCAGCGCCTATCCAGTGTATCTCTCTTCTTTGTACCCGTCTCACTATGAATGGTAAACTCTTTCATGTGGAAGTGGCAGGGGAATTCTCTTTTGCTCACGGACAGGGTTGTGATTTGAAATTTTGGTCCAAGTAACTGAGCAATAAAGTACACTTTTGAGGGAAAACTAGTTTCTATAGTTGCCGGTTTCTCAGCCTCGTTTTATGGTGCAAGAAATGTTTGTGGAACATGATTGCTGCTACCGAATTGGTGGCTAACGTGCAAGACAAAAGGTGGCAGTGTCTGCTTTGTTTCATTCACAAGGTTATTTGTATATACTTGTTTTAATACCCTCTGGGTCCATAGGGTATTACGGAAGGGGAGTGCATGTAAATTCACACACTAAAAACATTTCACATGCTAAAAATCAGTCATGTACAAATAGTGGATTTTGAGTTTGAAGCAAACTCAAAATCGGATAGTGGTTTTGGCCGAATATTTTCTAATCAAATAGTTTCTCTGAGCCTTTCACTACTGTAGCATGGTTAAACGAAAACCCAGCTGAACCTGTGAAGTTTGTTTACAAGCTTTTACTTGTCCATTTCTAAGCTAAATTATGTTTAATCTTACTACATTTATCGACTGTGGCCTCGGAAAGTTCAATGCCTACATTGGGTTGGCAAGTAAACAACACATTATGAAATAAAACCTATGAGATGCACTGCTATACCTAATTGAGGGGATTTATAAATATTCTTGCTATATACAAGTACCTTTCCTCTAGCCAGGAATGATTAATGTAGACATCAACATTCACAAAGTTTCCGTGTCTTTTTAAATAACAAAACGCGCACTTTGAAAGCATGCTTCCCTCCTAAGCACACTGATGGAATATTTGTACTTTTGAAAGTGTTGATCTTGGCGTTTCAGCCCCATCGAGTGCGCTTCTTGCCGTGCATCGGTGCACTGGGGAGAAGCAACACTCGTGGAAGCGAGTTTCGCGGGTGTTGCTTCACCACAGTGCACCATGCTCATTAAAGGGCAACTCCGCTTAATTTCAAAAGTTTTGAGATAGTGGCCGATTTTGCTTTTTGAAGCACTCAAAAACAATCCCCAATCCTTTGTTTCGCGAAAAATAAAATATTTTTCGTGTAATTTTACTTTAACCATGATCACAAACCGAAAGCGAAACGGTGGCAAAGCCGGACAACATTGTATATTTGGCATCACTAAGCATGTACACCCACGTGATATACAAGGGGAAGAAGGAGCTCCCCTCTTATCAGGATCCTTCTTTGTGCTTCCTGGATTAGCACAGGCGTCGCTATTCTCCTCCCAGAAGATAATAGAAGATTAACCTGTCACTCAAAATTCTTACAAAGCAGCTTTCCTCTCCTCCTTTTACTTGGTGTTCAAAAGTATGCGCACTGAACACACAAGCCGCGCTCAACGAGGCGATGGGCCTATCAGTAGTATCAATAGTCGAGCGCCGGGCCGGCCGAGCGCGTCACTCACATCTCTCACGGCGCTGGCGCCACTCGTGCTCTCCCCGGGAAAGAAAACAAAATTGAAAAAAAAAAAAAAGAAGCTGTACATGCTTGATGACGTCACGGATGTGCTGGGAGAAGGAACTTGGAGGAAGCGGAAATGCAACCGGGCAGTGTTGTCTGGCCCACACGTCTCATCCAAAACCAGCGGATTCGTGCTTGTCAAACTTTGACAGCGATTTTAATGAACTTCTAGGCGGAATTCCGTCGTAATATTTGCCATGGGGGTTTTTGTAGATGATAACAAAGAGAACTGTATAGTTTTGCACTACTGGAAAAGAAGCGGAGTTGCCCTTTAAGAAGAGCACTCAACATGCCACAATCAACACTGAAAAATACAAATATCGCAGCTGATCTCGAAGTAAATATTGAACAGCGTACTATTCGAAACTACTAATAGACAATTTGAATATTCGCGCAACACTACTAAAATTACGAGCAAAGTAAGCAATTTTGTTACAATATGATTAGTTACCTCCTCTTTAAGTAAATCAGTGCATGGTATGTTCACCAAAGGTGCCGGAAAGTGGTTCCACCCAGATGACGTTCTTAGTAAGGAGCCAATGTATGCTGGCGTTTCACTACGAGGTGTGCTGACTTAAGGCTGGTTCACACACTTGCAACCGATGACGACTCGTGTGCTTTGACACCTATTGTGACAAGAGAACACACTGGCGTCATCTGTCGGGTAGCTGTGGAGCAGTTTTCATATAAAGCAACATAATAAAACTGGAGACACGAAACAAGGACACTTATAACACTGTCTCAGACACAGCTAAAAAGTTTTATTCACAACACTCCCTTATAGCAAACAACCCTCAGCCGCCGCAAGTGGAAAAATGCGCTAGTATTAGCAAAAGAATGAACCATCATTCGCCAGTATCTAATCATTTATAACCTACGAAGCAAAATTTAAAAACTACAACAGCAAAAACGTCCGCCCTTGTTTATCAAGAACAACCGAAGGAATGCCGACACAATTTCCTGCTAACGTAATTCTAATTGTTTCCTTCAAAACACGTTTAAACGGATCCAGTTCTTTGCAAACTATCTCTGTCAATTCTTGGGAACACAATTGGTTCACTCGTCTAGATGCTTCACTATTTCGGAGTTTGGTGCCCTTGATAGCACTGCCCTTTTGTGCACTAGGAGCCTTTCATTAACACAACGGCCAGTTTGCCCAACATAAGAGAAGCAACTGATGTCACTTCTCTTATGTTACACACCTTTTGTTTGCTCATACAAGCCAGTGTCCACACAGCACGCGCAAAAGCAGCACCATAAATGCACTGGGTTGAAACGAAGGAAAGTCGTCTCGGTAACATGTACACAGGCTCTGAGCACCCAGGATGACACATGTTTGAACCCGTTCCAGGGACTACCCGGAGACGGGCGTTGAGAGCGACGCCCGGCACAAGATTGCTGCCGCCCTGCACGACAGTGGGGAAGGCGCCGAGGGCTACGTCACTCGCATCCAGAACGTCACCCAGAACGTCACAGGACGCATCTCGACGCTGGCACGTGGTGTCGGGGGCTTCGCCAACAAGTTTTCGGGCGGATTCCTCAACTTCTAAGTTGTCCCCTCCCCCCTCCCTCTAACCAACCGTACTCCCCCCTCCCCCTCCGCTAACTTCCGAACACCGCAGACCTCGCGCCTGTCATCGACAGTCTGCAGACGACGTTTGCTCACATTAGCGCATGCCTTCCACTTCTGCTGGCACCCGTCGAGCGAAGGTAGTGGCGTTGGCGCGGAGGCAAGCCCTAGCCGGCTGGCGTCCTGTTCGTTTGCCAATGTCATCGGCTAATGCTTGCAAACGCCTCAACCGGGCAAGCTTGCCAGAGGAGCCCCCACACACCCCGAATCTCCCCTCCGGAAGCCTCTGCCCCACTTAGGGATACCCTAGAGGGGCCGCCCCCCCCACTTCGAAGGGATTTTGGCACCCCTAGCACACCCGTGGCCACCCTAGCCTAGCGGCACCCGCGAGAGACTGACCTGCAGCAAGCACAAACCTATGCAAGGCGGCAGCCGACCAGCGTCGGATCGGCTCAGGTCAGACGGGCGCGGCTTCGGCCGGGCCTCTCTCTCCGCGGCTGCGTCGTCGCAGCTTGCTCTCGGTGGGCTCGCAAAGGAGACACACTCGTAAATGCAGTCCTTATACATACACTATATCTGTATATTACGAAGGGAAAGAGAAAAAAAAAAAAACGAAATCCAAACAACGAACGTTCTTTACTCGTTTTAACGTTTCATAGTAGAGCAGCGGCAGTGTGTTTTTCGGTTTTTTCCCAGGTCGAATGGTATGTCGTCCCCCGCCCACACCCTCACCTCTCCTTCAATACGTATGCATAAGGTAGATATTGCATATTTTACGATACTATCCGTGTCTAGGGCGCGAGAGAGCGGCCGCGCCGCTTGGCGTCTCTCTCTCTCCTCTGTGCTTAAACAGGAGGGGCTCGCCGCCCCCTTTCCCTCGTCGTCGTCTTCTCACCGACGTTGGGTGTGCATCCTCCTGCATTCCATTGCACCGACGTGGAGCACACTGTTTGACACGTCTTCGTTAACTTCGCGCCGCGTCTCACTTTGTTTCTCTTCGAGGCTCTGCAACGTACGACCGGGCGAGCTACTTTCCGAGATGGCTGGGGGCTGTTGCGACACGGTATTGCGGTTGAGCGTTGCGGCGTAGAGCTCCAACGCAATGTTGTGGTGCATCTCTCCGGCGCGTTGCGGGAAGCCTCGGGGAGTTTGTGCGGGGGGACGGCAAGAACTCGACGTTGTAGCACCAGCTCGAAGCCGGTGCTCAGTCTGCGGACAACTGCAGGTGCCATTTCCTTTAACTCGTTCCATAACACAGAGCTTAGCTCGAGATTACGCCAGATAAGTGTAACACAATACGAGGGAAAAAGAGTCGCACATTATTTCCGTTTATTTTAACCGCCTCGGAATAAAAATTAATCCAACACACGACTGATAAGCCATTAGGTCAGCCAGGCATGCATAGTAATCAAGTATGTTTCAACAACGACCGTTGTTTTATTAGAAGACGATTGCAACGTCGGCCACGATGAGGTGGCATCGTGAGAGCGCCCACATTTTGAAAGACGCTTCTGACAAAGGTAGCTCTCTAACGTAACAAAATCGATCAAATGTGTTGTAGCCCATCGCCGGAGAAGCGGAAGAAACGAAAAGAGAAGGAATTCATGACATACCCATGTTTACGAAGAACAAAATAAGGCTGCAAGTTGGACTACTTGGTTCTGATGCATACTGAGCTATCACGCCAAAAACGCAAGGACAAAAAGTGAGAGGCAACGCGGGACAAGGCATTGTGCTCTGTTGCCTCTCGCATTTTGTACTTGTGTTTTTTGGTGTGAAACCTTTAGGACAGAATCAGAAATGGCACACCTCTTCCATTTCCTGTCAGCAAATTTCCTCCGGAAATGGCCGCCACGGAGCCCGCGAGCCTTGCAGTCCCCCCGTCCGCGTTGTTGGCCCCTCATTTTGCGCGTTTCGTGGTTGCATGCAAGTGTGTGCCCCCTCCCGGGGAACAAGAGAGATGGTTTCACAAGCAAATAAGGGGCGTCTCTGCCGGTTCGGCGCCCTCTGTGGCAGGCACTGCCGCCTGGGCACACATTGTACATAGGCCTCGCCTCGGTTCCCTGTTTTGATATGGAACGCCGGCTCGCGCGTTTCCTTGCTCTGCCTTAACGAGAGGGGAGAGGCGGCGGCACTGCGTGTGGGCGCACGGTCGCCCGGGCCGTTCCTGAGTTGCGCTTGTTGCTAGCCTTTGCTTCCGGGCCCAGAACTCTTCTCATGGCCGAGCAGAATGTTTCTCGAGAGTTGCCCAGTCTCATGTAACTTTCTAGAGATGTGTGCACTATAAAGGTCTCAAACCACAGCCTCGTCTTCCTTCTGGTGACAAGGGGCGGCCCGCTCGCTCTCCTTGTGTGCACGGGCTCGCGTGCCCTGGTGATGAATGAGTGCGGCACGCTGCTCCGACACGACGGACTTCATTAATGACCAATCGGGAAGGTTGGGACCCTTTGCCCTGTTTTGTACGTGGCGTATGATGTAGTCGCGGCTACTAGAGCGAGCGCCTATATTCAGTGTCTCGTTCGCACAAGAGCGAGGACAAATGAGATACTAAATGTACTCGCGAGATAAAGCCGGTAGCCTCAATAGTGTTGTGTGTTACATGTGAAAAGCGGAATAGAAGCAGCCAAGAGGCACATGTATGAAAGGACAGGATAATAGAGAAAAGAAAAAGAACTGGAATGGTATTTTGCAGCATCTGCTTACTGCGGTAATGCTTTTTGTTACCCTCCTTTCTTTGGAACTTCTTGCACTGCAGTAACACAGAAAACTGTCTTCAATTAAAATGTCTTAAGACACTGGTACAGTGTTGGGGACAATAGGAACCTAAATGGCCATTTCGACAAAGTTTTCTGAGTGCCTGCTATGAGGGAGCTAAACTCCAACAAACGTTTACGGGGGGAAGTCCAGAAATGCGACACAAAGTCCTTCACTCAAGTACTGTTGAGATTCGGCGGTGAGGAGGATTGTCCTTAAATTCATTAGGCAGCTGAGGAAGCCAGAATAGAACCTGTTCCTCAGTACGAAATTTTGGGAGTGCAAAGCCACTGAAGAACAATCAGTCTAAAATATATTGCTAGAACACTTGGGCATGATGGTGTGTGATTCATGTAAAACGTAACACCTCGCTCTAGGCTGGGATTTACTAAACGGCACCTGCTTAGAAGAAGCTTGCCAGCAAAGCTAACTGTTTACTATACGTAGTCACTCACTGACAGAATGAGAACAACATGGCATCTTGTACGAACATCCGGCCTCCAGCACGTGCTCGTTGCCTTTTGCCGTGATCAAGCTGCACGCGCACACTCGATGCTCGTTAGACACCCAAGCGCTTGGTAGGAACCTTGCGCTGGAGGTGGGGAAACTGCACCCTGTCCTTGCTATTCTTATCCTGTCAGTAACTAATGAGTTCAGACAAGAGTACTATCTGCCTGCCAACATAAACATCTTGTCCATGTAAAGGGACTCCTGAGAGTGCGGCTCACGAAAGACAGGTTTAATGGATGTAAAAGATTGGCAAGACTGAGCTTGCAAAGCATGAATAGGACTTGAAAGACCAAGTTTGTATTAAAAGCTAAAAATATCCCCCCCTTTTGCTGTCCCAAAGGGAACTAAGACTTGGAGATCAAAATAAGGTAGTTAAAACAGATGTCCGGGGAGTTTCTGGTCAGCTGCAGCCTTGTGCCTTGAGCCAAGCATGATATTTGTTGAGCATGTGGTCGTCTGGGGTCACCTGTTGAAGGACGGGAAATCAGACGGCATCATGCATGTGAGACGAAGTACAGAATTTAAAATAGATAAAAAGATGGAGCTCGCTGCAATTTTCCTTTTAAGCATGCAGGAGTTAAAGCGCAACTCCACTCAATTTAGAAAATTTCGGGATAATTAGTGATTTCGCATTAAAAAGCCCTAGTAAAAGACACTACATTGTTTGCTTCACAAAAAATGGCTATATTTTTAAAATCTAATTTTAAACACGAGCGGAAATTGAAACTTTGGCTCCGTCCAACAACATTGGCCTCGGGCCACCAAGAACATAGCCATCACTTGGTACAAGATGTCACGTGATCTCTCTCTCTCAACTCTACTCAACGACGGGCGGGATTGGGGCGGGCGTGTGCCAGGCGCGAGTGTCGTCTGCACCGCACTCTTCGCCACGTTTTGGAGTCTATGACATTCGACAACGTCAGCACAACTGAGGCATAAGTCTGCGCACGTGGTGTCCGTAGTCTGGACGAAACTCCGAGAGACAATAATCACAAACGGTGAGACGTTGACGGCGGTAACGGCGAGAACACGGCGGGGTGACCGGACGGCTCCCAAGAGGTGCGCTGCGCAGGCGCGTTACGCCAATCGTGTGGACACCGTTGAGCGCCGAGAGGATCATCCCCTACACTCACCCAGAGAAGTAAAAACAAGCAAAAGGGGGCAGTGGTGATGACGTTTAGCTCAATGTTGGCTGCGCTCATGCCGTAGCCTTGACTGTGCTTTTAGTTTCGCCCGCTCGAGTCAGCCGATTTTGGCAACCTGGCGAGTTGCAAAGTTTGCCCGACCGTTTAAGAAACATTGAGACAGAACTGCGTCGTAATATTTGACGTGTAATCTTCCTAGGCAATACTGAAGAGGACTGCATTGTTTTTCAAAACCAAAAATGAAGCGGAGTTGCACTTTAAGTTACTGCCATTTTCAACCATGATGCGGAATATGCAACAGAAAAACAAGCAATACTTAATCGTTATCTCCATGGTAAGTTACAGTGCCGATGCATGAGGAACTGATATTTGAGGTTTGTTTAAAGTGGGTGAGATTCGTTTGGCCCTTCTTTTAGTTTAAAACGGACTGCCCTGCATTCCCCCGAATGTGGCGTATCCACAGGGCCATAAAATTCAAAATTTCTTTTTCTTGTTATTTTATAAAGTTTTATCTCGCAAGGTTCCACTACAATCGGCTAAAAAGAAAGAAAAACAACCTTAAGTGTTCTTCCCCAGTTCTCCGCCTCGTTTAAACAAAGTGAAACCCAAAGGTCCTTTCCAAAGACTGCTCTTGCCAAGAACCCACCTTGGCCCATTCCTTGATGCAGAAGATTCGGTAGGAGTCGTTGCCGTACTTGCCGATGCCGTGCAACTCGCTAGGGTACCTCCAGTCCCGTGTCAGGTACTCCTCTGCATCCGTAGGTCACTTAAGAACCTAGCCGCAACGTAGGTCTCTACCACTTCATCTAGGAACCTCGTAAGGCAACCGTGCTCAGACGAAGTAGTGAAGTAGTTACTAGAGTGGCTTAAGGTGATCAGAGTCCTCGTGTCAAAGGAACACCGCCATTCTCACTGGAATCAACACTTGCTTGAGAACGAAGTGCTACTATGGACACATTCCAGGCACTGTAGTGCTACTGGGCATGGTGCAGTTTAAGGTGCCTTCATGTGCACTTTGCTTAGAATAATCACACCAGACGAGGCACTTCTTTTTTTTTTTTTTTTTTTTTTTGCCCCGGAGCACATAAAAAAATGTCTTCCGGCACTAACTCTCGGCATACACCATGTTATCACGGCATTTTATTTCCGGCTATTTCTCTGCCCATGTCATCAGTGTTGGAACTTATAAAGAGTGGAATCATTATAAACAGAACACTGAGGCACTCCAGCAGAGCTCAGCCAAAGCAAGGGCACAGTGTCACCTCTCACTCAACAATGCTTTTGAGGCACTTTCTGAGGAAATGACATCCCCCACTAAAGTAGATCAGTACTTTTGAAAATTAAACGTTTCGGCAAAAATTTGCCTGGTTAGGTGAGTATAGACCAACACGCGGCCCTGACGTCATGCAGCTGCGGTGGCGCTGTCGACGGCATTGCGCATGCGCAGACTCTTCACTTCATGCGAATTTGGGTTCTGTGCACGCGCAGTGCCCACACCTTGTGTGGGCAAACGCGGGCTTGTTTGTAAACAGCGTGTCGGTCTATTAAAAAAAGGAGCTGGAGGTACCATGGCCTGCTCGGTCGCTTGTTCATGGGTGACTTATTTGGCTGGGTCTTTCTCTTCTCCTTGTCGCTCTCATTAAAATCGTCTTCTTTTTGTGACTTCTCGAAGTCCGTGAATATGACTGCTTGGGAAGATACCTATCGACCGGTTCAGGTTATTCTTGGTATGCTGGATAGGCCATGACTCTAAATAGAGACGTTCCTTCCAGTTTCTTTCGGTGTCCAGCACAAAACCGCTGTCGAAGTCGATGGCGTGGTTGTTCTTTTTTGCATGTTCCACTAGAGCGTTTCCTTGTATGTCCTTTTTTTACATCATATTTGTGTTTGCGTAGGCGTTCGGGGAGGTTCTTGGCTTCCCCCCCAAATGAGGCATTGCAGTCGGCGCGAGGAATACGATAAACAAGGCCTTGGGCTTTTTCTTTTGGATGACAATCTTTTGGAAGAGGGAGATGATGGCCAAAGGTCGAGACAGGCTTGTGTGTCACTGCTATGCCACATTGTTTGAGCACGGGTGAGAACTTAGCTTGTGCCTCTGGGGTACGGGACGCACATGCAACTGGAGGGATGGGTTTTGTCGGCACTATTTCGACATGCCATCACAGAGTATTCCACAGACAAGGCACTTAAAGAGGAAGTTGATATTATAGAACGGGACCTTAAAAAAACGCATATCCAACAAGATTCGTCAACTATATCTACAGGAAGCTTCGTCACCCATCTGCAGTTGAGAAAACCCATCCCTCCAGCCGCACGTGCGTCCCGTACCTCAGAGGCACGAGCTAAGTTCTTACCCGTGCTCTCAAACCATACGGCATAGCAGTGACACACAAGCCTGTCTCAACCTTTGGCCATCATCCATCATCTCCCTCTTCCAAAAGATTGTCATAGAAAAAAAAAGCCCAAGGCCTTGTCATACCCCTGGCGCCGACTGCAATGCCTCATATATGGGGGGAACTTCCCAGAACGTCTATGCAGACATAAATATGATATAAAAAAGAACATACAAGGAAACATTCTACCAGAACATGCAGAAAAGAACAACCATGTCATTGACTTCGACAACAGTTTTGTACTGGACACCGAAAGAAACTGGAAAAAACATCTCTATTTAGAGTCATGGCATAATTCAGCATACAAAGAACAACCTGAACCGGACGATCGGTGCCCTCCCAAGCAGTTATATTCACGGGCTTCAAGGAGTCACAAGAAGAAGAAGATTTTAACGGCAGCGACAAAAAGAAGAGAAAGATGAACATTCAGCCAAATAAGTCACCTGTAAACAAGCGACCGAGCAAGCTGTGAAACGTCGGGCTGTTTGAACACAGTTGGT